AATAAATATTTCATGCACAGTATTGAAAAGGTCTATAGAGGCAAAACTTTCTTCCTCTCTTTGTTAGAACGGCCAAAGCTAAATATGGGGAAATCAGTAGTGAATTTGTTTTTAAGTATTTAAATAATATATAATTAAACTGTGGAATCTGCTGCAATTAGATATGAAGTTGGTCATAATTTTAAACAGTTTTTTAAAGTCCTAAACAGATTCTTAAAGGATCATCAATGGCTGTTTATTACCTCCAGAATGACAGACAATGTCCATTAAAAACTCGCAGTGTGATGAGCCTGGTTTCAGGCATGGCTTCTTGTGGCTCTTCACATATCCATTCAGACACCCAAAACAGTTTGAATTCTTTGTTGAGACATTTCCACAGGACATAATTTTGATAAGAAGGAAAGGAAGACAGATGGGCTGGTATAAGTATCAGCTGCTTTGGTGGCATTACAGGTAGAGTTTTAAACTCTACGAAATGGAGACAATGGTGTCAACAGAGTAGCCTTCTGAAAATGGACTATTGGTTTCAATCCAGAGAAAAGGTGGGTATTGATCCTAAAATGCATTAGGCAGTATTTGCACTGCTGAAGGGACAGTCTGAAGGTCCACAAAGCATTTGAGAGCACAATTAGAGAAAAGAGTGCCAAAGAAGACTGGTGCAGGAAGGACCTAATCTACTGATTGCAGAGAGCCTTAGGTGGTGTAAGAAAATCAAAAGTTTTACTTGCCAAATGAACACTAGCTATAGCAATCCCAGCTGCCACTTCATCTGACTTGGAAAGAAAGGTTACTACCATTATTTCTCAATTAAAAAGAAGAATAGGTAGGGGTACAGTTAGAATACTGCACACAGCCTGCCCATACTTTATACTCTGCGACACTTTACAGTATGTTCAATCTATATCATTGGTAGGGGTATAGTTAGAATAGTGCATAATATGGTAAATCTACATCATAATCTGCATGCACATAGAAGTTTCAACCTGAGCGGAACTGAAAGGTGGAGTTCAGGGGGAAAAATATCTAATTTGCATTTTTGAAATATTGTCTTATTAAAGAAGAAGAAAAACCGGTGATGAAAGAAAAAAGAGTAAAGTACCCTTGCAAGTCTTGAGGCTGAGGAAATGAAACTGACTTTACTGTGTTTCATCAGCTATTTGAATAAAATGGGGGAGAGAACAGAATTCTAATTGCACTGTTTCTTTCAAGCAAAGCCTCTGTTTCAACAGACCCCCATGACAAGCTGATAAAGGGGCATAGGGAAAAGGGCTATCACCCTCTTTTTCATAGTTGTGAGTTTCCTGGTTGACCATTGAACGGCACATAATGCTTTATTTTTCTGAGCTGTTCATTTTGCCAATAGCATCCTGTTGTTGTCAAAAGAGGTTTAAGAACTGAAAGAGGTCATAATTTAAATTATTAAGTACACCTCTCTATAGAAAGCCAGCTTGGTGTATTGCCTTATTTATTTATTTAAAAGATATATAGGGCCACCCAACTTAAGCAACCTAGGGTGGTTTACAACAGCCATTAAACCAATAATTGTACCTCTATTTAATGTATTTAAAAGGTATGGCTATGATATCAGGCTAGAAACTGGGTGACTGTCAGTTCTAGTCTTGGCATGAAGCTGACTGGGTAATCTTGAGCCAGTTACTTTCTCTCAGCCCTAGGGAAGAAGTAACTGCAAACCACTTCCAAAACAAATTGCCAATGAAACCATAGAGACTTAACCAAGCAGTCATCAGGAATCAAAAACTGATTCTCACACACAAAAAAGTGCCCAAGTCTAAATATTTGTACACATTCATCACAGATTTCTCAGTCCATTTCTCAATTCCTCTGTCCTCCCTACCTTGTAGCAGAATTTAAGTTCAAAAAAGTCACTCATAGTTGTTTTGTAGGGGAGACTTTTAATGAGCCTAACTATAGCAAGTGCAGAACAGAGTTACAATCTGATCAAAAAAGCCCATTTCATCAATATTACAGCATAAACAGAGAGAGTTAGCAGTAATAGCCTTTATCTGGTGAACCTGATAGTTCTGTTCTTTCAACCTAAGTAATCTCCCTAGGCTCTTCCAAGAGTAAAGTAGGCCAACCCTAAAATTCCACTATGAGCTTCTTAGAAGAATAAGATATCACATGTGACAGTTAAATAAGACCACCAATAGAAATTTAAAATGGCTAAATGGGTATAAGAATAGTTCTTTGTGGATACAATTCCCACCCCCACCCCGCACATTGGAAGAAAGATAAGAAAATGAACCTTGCAAAATGTATCAGAGTTCATATTCTTAATTCAGAAACAGAATGAACAAACTGTTCCCATTAATCACCATCGGTATCTAATAGCATATTGCAAACTCAACAGTGTAAGCAACTGCAATCAGTTGTTTGTGAAACCTCCAGAACTTTCCTGATATTTGCAAATGTACAGCACCTTGAATTTGCTGATGCTACTTTTATGTTCATACTCTGAGCATCAGACATCAATAATGCACTATAACCCCTATCCAATCTGGACTTTGCCCTTTGGAAATGGCAGGATCCCAGCTCATCCCATTTTACATCTGAAATTAAATTGCCCAGTCAGTTTCTTACTTGCTATCCCCCTGGTTTCTATTACCCAATGAAATGCAACAGACCAAATGTGATTAGAACCCAAAATTTCACCATCCTACTGTAGCAACAGCTTAGACAATCAGCAATTAGTTTAGGCATAAGGTCCTACAATGTCACTGAATCGCAGGGAAAGCGATGTGTGAAAACAACTACGTTCAGCAAAAAGAAAGATAAACCTTATTGGAAAAAGTTCAACCTTTAAAAGAGCTTGAACTGAGCTGACTAAAAAAAGAATTTTAATTACTCTGAGAGATAAAGCAGGTCCTTGAGAGTTTATGTTCCCTCCCAGCAAAAGACAGGAAAATTGCTGTTTATTAGTTAATATTTACCCGATGTGTTCTTACTTTTGATTCTTATTTATAATAGGCAAGATGAAATGAGGAAACCATTAAGAGAAGGGGGTTGTTTAAGGATAAATGTAATATATAGTGGTTATTCCCTTTATTTTAATCTCTTTATGCTTTCCTTGAATATGAAAGTGTTGATTAAAAATTTGGAGGGGAAAAGTTCATTATTTAAATTGATTCATAAAGCTTCATGGGAAGGATGCATATGTGCACATTTATAAGCATCATAAAATAACTTTGCTCTTATGGTTCATTAACTGAAAATAAATTTATTTAAATTGAGTAATGTAAGAGGAAAGGCTATCATAGAATACTACAGTGTAGTGTAGTAAAGATTACAAGGGAAGGGAAGCATGCAAAGACAACGCCAATCTTCTTCATCCTGAAAAGTCAGATGTTTTTAAAAGGATTATTGCCACATTTGGTAAAATGTAAGCTGGTAAAAATATTTCATACTTAGAAAAAAAATTGGTATATACAGATGTTATAGCTTTGTCGTTAATCATACAATCAATCCCCTCAGTATTATAAACACTGCAGAATATTTATTATGAAGTCATTTAAGAAAAAACATATTCTACTTTCCAGTAACTATAACTTAGCAACATTACATATATGATTGTTTATTAAAATTATTCTCTCTATTTGTGTTGTCTTTCCATTCTCCCTGCAGTATCTGTTACATGTTTTCCCCACTGGTCTCTGTGATATTGCAGCTGCTGTATATTTGAGGCAGTACCAATCTCTCCCTGTAAAACCATTCTCAGAGAGACAAACCCAGAGATTATACACTGCTGGGAGATAAAACTAGCCCTATGCTTTTAATAGGAGTATTAAAATTACAACATATAACCTGGACTTCACCTTATATGGGCTAGCTTTTTCTGCCCATAATCTGATAAGAGAAAACAAGAAAGGTTCATAGTTCTCCTATGAGCACATGAGGTTCAAGATATAAGAAAAAGAGATAAAACAATGGAGGGAGGGGAGAAAGAGATGGGATAAAAGAGGAAGCTGATACTCTTAATAATTTTTAGCTACCTACACTTATTTCTTATATTGCACAGTATTTCTCATATTGTAATGTTATATGCTCTACATAGTATGGATTTTGTTTTGGAAAAGATGAGCAACAAGCAGTTTTCCCACTTGTTTGGAAAAAAATGGGATTATTTGTGGTCTGATCTGTAAAAGCAACCCTAAATAGGAGGAGGTGAAGGATCCTTATCCTTTTACCTGGACTTAAGGACCTTTCATTTTTCAGCCTTGATTTAAGGAATCAATCAGCTACACACACACACACACACACACACACACACACACACACACACACAGAGAGCCAAAGTTATGCGGTCCATCGGTTTCTATATATGGACTGGCAAAATTAAGTGTTGGGGAGGGAGGGGGGGGAGCGAAGTTCGTTAGCTGTTAACTCCCGATCAGCACGGCTTTTTCCTAGGAATCCGGGAAGAGTGGAGAGAAATCAGAGACAGGGGACAGCTTCCTGATGTGATGGGTGGTCCAACCGAAGCTACAAGAGATAATAAAAATCCTCCAGGATTTTTTTGCCGCCGCCGAAAAGAGATGGGTGAGGGAAATCAGTGCTTCTTAAGGGTTACGCACACACACACACACACACCACACAGAGTAACCCTGTAAAGCGCGGACCGGGAAAGGCGGGAGAGTGATCGACGTGGCGGGGGGGGGGGGGTTCAGCGCAAAAGAGGCCAAACCCGTCCAAGGATCCCGGTGGGGGAAACTGGCACAAGGCGGGATCGCCGGGCGGCTGGCATTGAACTCCGTGGCGGAATGGCTCCTCTTCTTGCGAAGATAGCCCGGCGGGGCAGCAGCCCATCAGGGCAGAGTCCTTTTCCCTCTGACCTCAAGCCAAGGACAGGGCAGCGTTTTCTCCGGCGCATCCTTTAGCCCGCTCTTGGCGAAGCGCACGGAATCTTCCTCGTATCCCTTTCGCTCCCCGCTTTCCCCCCTCAGACCTCTACAATAACAAGGCGCGGGAGTGAGGCGGCTCACCTGCGAGCTGTTTTGTGGCCCGACACCCCCAATCCCGCGGTTTCCCGCTTTCCGGAGGAAAAGTGCTCGCGAAGTAGACCCGATGCAGGACACGGCCGCCTTTGCCCCGGGTGCGAAGAGGGAACCGGGTCGGCGGAGCGCTTCGGCGCGCGCTTGGCAACCCTGAAGAGCCGCGGCGCGAGCTCCGGAGTCCCGAGCCTTCGCCACCTGCAGAGCGGCAATGCTGCTTGCTTTAGGAAACAGCCCGACCGACCTGCCGGAGCCCGATAGCCACGCCCCCAGCTCTCAAAAGCGTCTCCCGATTGGTGGCTCCGTTGGATCCCACTCGCTTCTCCCTCCCTTTCTGGTGTGCGCAATTTGGAGGCTGTTGCTTTTTTTTTTTTTTTTTTTTTGCGGGAGGGAATGAAAGGGATTCCGAGGATAAGGCAGAAGCAGCCCTACCTTTCGAGATCTGCTGCGTTTGGGCTGAGGACGACGGACGAAAGTAAAGAAGGACAGTCGTTCACGGATCTGTCCACGGTAGCTAGCGGGAATTGAACCGGATTCGAGAGCCTTTTGATCTTTAAAGCAGTTGGTAACTTTTTAAAAGAGATGTTGAGGAGTAAAAAAAAAAAAAAGATGGCATCTGTGTGGTGCGCCCGGGAGAACAGTTCCTCACGGAATTTTTTTTTTAAAAAACACCATCTTTATCTCTTGCATGCAACAAAGGTGGTGCAGAGGATCTTCTTCTCCACCCACGACGTTAAAGAGGTATGTGTCTTTGAATTTCCCGCAGATCCACATACAGTACAGTACTTTAATTGAAAGGAGAGAGAGAAAAAAGAAAAAAAACCCGAGAAAAAAAAAATGTCCTAGCAGCTTATTCCTCAAAGCGGCAGAGAAGAAAAGAAAAGAAAGAACAATTCGCCTCATGCGTGAACTTTCTTCAACACAACACCTTCCAGCTAATGTTGGACTTTGATGCTATAATCCAAGGAGTGATGAGAGTTGCAAGGTAACCCATGTGCAGAACACTCAATTGCCCTACGCACAGGTAGAGTATTATATAAGCAAGAGACTGAGCATATGGAAATATGTCGCTTTTTACAGGTGGGAAATACAGTGAGACTGATCCCCAAAATAGCCAAGCAATTCATGGCAGAGAATTATGCACTTGTAAAGTTTACTGCTTGCCACCTAACAATTGTCAGCTTCCCTCTGGATAGATAATCAACTGCTTTTCTGCCAGAACACTAAGGGCAAGACTGATAAGCACAGCTGTAAACTTTATTCCCTTTCCTGAAATTGTTGCCTTGATGATATCGGGCTTGTTAGTTGCACTGGGAACAAACAAGACTACCTCTGGGTAAATAAAGTTGCTTCTAGACATTCAGTTCCTGTACTGCTCAAAAGATTCCATCTTTCTCTTTGGGAAGGAAGGAAGGAAGGAAGGAAGGAAGGAAAAGAGGGAAGGAGGGTATCAGTGAAGAAATGCTGTTTCCTTTTCATTTATTTCCCAAACCAATATCATTTTGTCAAACATGACAAGATGATTGGAATCACCTTCTCTGAGATAATTCACAATGAGCTAAGCAGTTATGCTCACCTTGTCATTTATTAGTCATTCCAAATGTTGTATGGATCACACACATTCTGCCTTGTCTTTCCAGTACACTTCTAAGCATAATTCACTAGTGAAGAAATTGACAATTACAACTGTTGCTGCATACAACTATATACCTTGGATGACAACAAGAATAAAGAACTCCTTTCATTGGGAAATCTAGTTGCATTGGTGTTATCTTCATAAGGTGACATAAGGTGAATTGTTCCAAAATTTGTTCCAAAATTTATGCAATATAAATCAGTATGTAATTTAGTCTGTGTTTGCTAAGGGAGTTTTGTAGCATTTTCAGAGACTTGTATAGGATGATCCCAAAAAAGTGTAGAGTATTTGATTTCCTCTTCCTAAACTTTTGTTTCAGCATTGTGGACAATAGCATTCTAGATTTATAATGCAGACAGCAAGATCAATGATTGGCTTGCTTCTATTTCACTTACTTATGGCCTCCACTTAGAAATCAGCAACCCAGGCACTGAAATCTTGAAGATATTCTATATAAATTCTCTAAGCATAGGAAAGTAAATAAAAATGATTTATTGATTTTCTTTAGTTAAGTTTGTGGAAGTGGAAGATAGCTCTTTATTCTCTCAACTACTAGCAAAATAGTTATTTGGCTTCTCTTTATGCTGATTTGTAACATATATATATATTGGCAAATTGTTAATTAACAGTATTTACTTTTATGAATTACTAATTGACAGTATTTAATTTTTCATTTTAAGTCATGTTTCTTATAGGAGGTGTGTGCATTATGGTCCATTCTGTATAATATAAGAACTAAGCAAAATAGCTTAATCACCCTGCAGCAACATATACTTTTGTTTTGTTTTTGACAAAGACACAGCTAATAGTATCCATTAATTGATCCATGTACAGAGTGACCGCAAAAAACAAACAGATAAACCCACAAAGATTGTTAACAAGCAGAATGATAGGGCTCTATTACCTGACCTCAGGAAAGGAAGGGGAGAATCTTTTTTCACTTTCCATGAAATAGTTAAGCTAGAAAAGGATGGGCTTCTGCCCAAGAGGTTTTTCTCTTTTCCAGGATCTCAGGACTGATATAATGGGGAAATGTTTTGTCCTGCAGAACAGACTTTCTCAAACTCAGCAACTCTAAGATGTATGAATCTCAACTCCTAGAATTCCCCAGAGCAGTGAGAATTCTCAAAGTTGAAATCCACACAGCTTAAAGTTGCTGAGATTGAGAAATACTGCTGTACAATGTCCAAATGGATTCAAGGATTGCAGAACTGAATGTTACCTGGATTTTGTCAATTTCAATCTTTTGTACTTTGTCAATTTCAATCTTCTGTACTAAAATTGCAGGACGCGTGGCTGGCATCTTCAGAGTCAAGATAGTAGGCAGTGATTGGGTTTTTGTCTTTACAGCTCAGTATTTTTACTTTTAATTGGCCTTTAGCTAAACTGCTTTCTGATTGGTACAGATATATATACCAATATACAGAAGCCTGATGATGGCAGATGAGATTCTACCGAAACGTTGCTACAACTTTAAAAGCCCAACTACAATGACGTGGGAAAATACCTGAACAAAGCTGAATGCCATACACGTAAGTACCCGCGAAAACTTAAGAATATATATATATATATATTGGTCTGTGTTTATTGGTCTTGGAGTTTGCTGTGTTCTGCTTGATTGGTGTTTCTAATATCTCCTGTCTGTTTTTTGGCTCTTTTTGTCTCTTGATTGGCTGGCAACATTGTGTTACTTTATTGGAGGCCTTTAGTGCAGCTTGGCTCCGGGTAAATGGACGGCTATCATTAGTTAGGAAGCTAGGTTTCATCTGGGTGCCTGGTTGGGGTGTGTTTGAGCTGGAGGTATCAGGGGGGATCTGTCTGTGCCCAGGTGTTTGCCTGGCTTGTGGTGTGGAGACAAAAAATCAAGAGACAAAAAGAGACAAAAAACAGACAGGAGATATTAGAAACACCAATCAAGCAGAACACAGCAAACTCCAAGACCAATAAACACAGACCAAGACTCCCAACCAATCAGGGTGAAGAAAAAACCATTCTGGCACAGCAATAGGCTGCCCCAAATTTAAATCTGAAACCACTATAAAAGCCTGACTCACAGATGAACACTATACAGAAGCCTGATGATGGCAGATCTGTCTATCTATCCATGGATCTTCTGCTAATCTCATGCATGTGTGTGCATCCCTAGAGGGAAATTTATTGCTCTGCCCACAGTTCAGTTTCTAATGCTTATCCACATTAAATGTTGCTTGGATTGCTGCCTACACATCTTTGCCTGAAATGCTTCTGTCAGCTAGCATTGAGTTGGAAGATTATGAATTGTCTTCAACAACAGTGCCATTTCCCAAAGTTCCTTGCAAGAAAGAACAAATCATGTTTCTCTATGTTTCTCTATGTTTCTAGTTTGATTTTTAGATGCACCAATTTTATGCTGTGGCTTGTTTATGCTGAAAATTAGAAAATCAACCACTATGAGAATTTTTTTAGGAAACTGAAAGAAATCAAAAGCTGGTTTTGGGATTTGGTGATTAGTGTCATACGGGACTATAGAAATAATGTAGACAAATGTTAACCTTGGAGTAAGAATTGATGTCTTTTTAAATCTATATATCAAAGAGAGTCAGAAGTTATGCTTTTTCTTTCTATTCTTTTTTTCCTTCTATCTTCTCTGTACTTTTATTTTTTTTCTTCCTGAGCTTTTTTTTTCTTCAAATCTACTTTTTGTTTATCTTTTATCTTCGTACTTTAAAAAATAGTTATTTTAAAAAAATCTACAATAACTTTTTGAGTTAACATGTACATGTATGTGTATAAAAATTTATTCATAATTAATCCTACATTTTAGTGCATGTAGTCATTGGTTCTACTTTGCCAGATAGGACAGGATGCGTATACTCTCCTTCATCACTTAGTTTCATAAACTTCCATTCATTTTCATTTGTCATTTATTAATTCATACTTTAACCATTTATACTATTATATACTATAGACCTCAGCAGGTGGGCCTATACATCCTGCATTTGATCAGTCAAGACTTTCAGATGATACTTTTTAATAAGCTAGAAAAGAGGTAGACTAGATTACCGGTCATAGCTGGATCAGTGCCACAGGCAGAACCATAAAAGTACTCATGATAATCTGTGTGAAGCTAGAATCTCTAACTTAGAATCTACCAACTATTGTGCAGTCCTACTGGTTAAGATATACATGCAGTAAACTACATTAATTCTTCTTCTTCAACTAATGACTTGTTGCAATGAGTATCATGTTATTGCTCAAATGACAAATAAAGTATATAATATTTAACATGTAATATGTTTTATCTATTTCATGCAGACCTATAATAAATTTTTGAAATGTACAGTGTGTTTCTGTGACTCTTCCAATATCTTTCTATTTTCTGAATTATTTTACTTTTTTAGTCAGCACTTTAGCAATTGGATAGTGGTCTTTGGGTTGCTTTCTCTTATCTTTGGGTCTTTGTCTTTTTCACACAAATATGTACATTTTTCTGTACATCCTAGCTTGCTTATTCTTTCTTTCATTTCTTTTCTTTTTTCCTTCCTTCCTTCCTTCCTTTCCTCCTCCTCCTCCTCCTCCTCCTCCTTTTTCT